AAACTAAACCACCTTAAGTTTATTGCTGGTTTGGTCTCGAAATTTCTAGGTCATTTTGTTATTAATTTTAATTGGAACTCCATATATATATATATAGTTTTATTGCAAGTCTTATTATAATTTATTTGAAAAAAAAAAAAAAATTATTTATCGAAGTGTAACATGTTGGCCATGAAAAGTCCGCAATCGAAAAAATTATGAAAGATTTATCAATAATTTTAGTATAAGTCTGTAAAAAAAGAAGTTACGAAGGTAAATGCAAAATGATAAATAAAAAATACTTATAAAGACAAATAATATTATACAAGAGACGGCATTTTATTATTTCCTCGATAAAAGACACTTAAAGGTCAACCCGTTGCACCTCCTTGAAGCTTTTTTATAAAATAGAATTAAGACTGTTACAGTAAAGGTATGCGGTTATATTTAAACGAAATAAGATAAACATGAAATTGTAATCCCATATTAGTGGTCCCTTCGAACAGGAAATTTTCACCCTGTGACATTTGCTTTCGATCGTATGAAATAAGCAATGTATTTAAGATGGTCTCTAATTAAGTGAGATATTTATTTTATACGTGTTTCGTGTATAGATTTTTACAGTTCTATACAATTACAGAGATATTATTATTGCATCGTTGTAATATGTAAGAATTACAAAACATATAATCATTCATTTCAATCTCTAATTTGATTAATATTTCATTCAACCGGTTGATTTGATGATTTTTCTATTAGCGGGAAAATTCAAATTTTTTTTTTTTTTTTTAATCAAATTAATTAGAATGAATTTAGTACCATTGAATGTATTATATTTTATAAAAAAATTCTTTGTGAATAATGTTATAAATATTAAAGGTAAAAGTATTATATTGCTTAATAATATTAATAATATTTTAATTAAAATATATTATATAATAATATATAATTATAATGAAAAAAAAAAAAAAATGAAAATGTGTACGCACAAGTAATAAGTAAAGTTTTGATGTGGGGGAAAAAAAAATGTTCCAGCTTTAATAAAAACAAAATATTCAAGATATTACATTGTGTGTGTTATATATATTATATATATATATATATATATATATATATACAAAATGATTTTCTTTTTCTTCATTTATTTGATAATGATAAATGAAGATTTGATGAATAATTTTGAATAGGACGATGCGTACTATGAAAACTATTTACATTTGATTAAAATTTCCGATCATAAATGTAAATTTTCAAGATTCAATTTATTTATATTGAACAAAAAGAAAAACGAAAGAAAAAAGAAAAGAAGAAAAAAAAAAAGAAAGTAAAAAGAAGAGAAAAAGAAAAAATGAGCACGATTTTTTCTTTTTTTGTTTTTTTGTTTTTTACCGTGAATAAATAAACCAATATCGTATTATTGGCAATTATTTATAATAAAAATGTTATATGATTAATTTAATTAGATGCTCAATCATAATGTAATGAGTGTAAAATGCAATACAAATAATAATTGAGCAGGAAAAAGTGTATCCTCTAATTATATATATATATATATAATATATTATTAGAAAAATATTTCCATTATATTTTAGTAAGTTTATATTAACAAGATTTTGTATTATCATTATTATTATTATTATAACATATAACAGTTTGAAAAAATCGTTAGCTGCCGAGCTCGAGTACAGAAGTTTACAATATGTATAAGTGATTTGTATAATTTCTTTTTTTTTTTTTTTTAAATTTGTTTCTCTAACTTTTCATTTCTTTTAGTTTTCCTTTTCTTATTTTTTTTTTAATTATGGTTTCTTTTTGTTCAATACAGATCTCTTTACTGCAATAGTCCATTTCATAATACACGTTAGAATACCAAAAAAAAAAAACCGATTATAATAATGTAATATATATTAATACGTATATGTAAATGAAAAAAGAATTAATGTAAACATAAATTTTCATTGCAAATGATGTTGTATTTGTTATAACAATTAAAAATTTCGATCATTTATTATTTGTGGTTTTTCTTTCTTTTATTATTATTATATATATATATATTTAATAAATATATATTTATAATATTTATCATCAGACGCGTTTAATTATTTTCACAATTGTGATTTAAACATGTTCATCGATCGAATATTTCAATTTAGCGAAGAGAAAATAAAGAGGCAAAAAAAAAAAATTATACAATCACAAATTGCAATTTCGCTTATGATTATATATCAACGCACTGGATTATTAAGGTTTTTTTTTTGTTTTTTTGTTTATATTGCAATGAAAGTTATACAAATGTTATTAAACAACAATGATCTCTTAACGAGACGACATTTTTTTTTTTTTTTGTTAATTTGAAATGTTTTCGTTTAAATTATATTATCGGTATTAAAAGAAAAACAAACAAATTAAGAAACAATGAAATCACCATGTTCCAATAAATATGGGATTTCATATTATTTTTTTTGTTTTTTTGTTTTTTCAACTAGTATAATAATCTTTTATATCTAAATATAAAAGTTGCGTGTATAATATATAAATTTTTCTTTTTTTTTTGGAAACTTCCAAAAAAAAAAAAAAAAATAAAAAGAAAGAAAGAAAGAAATAAATAATAATTTTTAGTCATCATCAGATTATAATGAATTATCGAAAAAATTGTCTCGTGTTTTTAGTTTTCTTCTCTGTTTTTTTTTTCTTTTTTCTTTTTCTTTTTTTTTTTTCTCTTATATGCATAAATATGTATGTATATATATACACATTTTATAAGTAAATAGCACAAAATGTCACTTGTTCGTGTGTGCGGTTGAAAATATATAAAAATGAATAAGTTAATTATTATTTTTTTTTTCCAATTTAGTCATGCCATTGACATGCCGATATCTAGCACAGACATCTATCCAGTCATTTAATTATTATGTAGATACATTATAAATATTATTATTATTATTATTGTTGTTATTTTTTGTTACTTTTTCTTTTCCTTTCTCTTATGTATATATATATATATATGAAGATATTATAATAATTGTTTACACTATATACAAATAAGATGATATTAGAATCAACTCATATCAAATGAAGCAAATATAATGTGAACAATCTTCTTGACAGTGTGTTAGTATGTATGTTTTGTATTAATATTTAACGCAACGTCTTTTATTTATTAATTTGAAAGTCCTTCTTCAAAATGTGATGAATAATAATGAAAAACTGTTTTTTGTTAGAAACATTCTCTCTCTCTCTCTCTATTTATAAATGTGTCATCATAATAGTATTTTAATATTCTTGTGTATAATACAAATGTGACTAAAGTTGTTTTATTATAACGTATAAAACTTGTTCAACGATGAAATATAATAATAACGGTTTAAATGTATTTCATAAGTTTAGTGACAATGTTTTCATTATTTGTAGTCATCAATTTTCTTAGGTGAGAAAAAAAATGACCCCTGCCCCACTCCTCCTYCTCCTCCCCCAAATCGCAATCGTATGCGTATAATAAGTTATTAGTTTACTGAAAGATAATTCATAGATAATTCTTGTTTTTTTAAATCTAGTCCTAATTCGATTCTTAATTCGTAACGTTTTTCTAGCATACAATTTTCTTGAGATACTTTGTTTATTTTATTTTTCTTTTTAACGCTGAATATAAAAAATTTCTTTTACTATTGATTTTTATATATATAAATATATATATATATGTATGTATAATTCGACGTGCATTCGATCATTATCATCATCATCATCATCATCATCATCATCATCATATTAATTCGATAATTATTAATTATAATTTTTTTGTTCGCATTTAAATGCTATAAGATTTAATAGATTAGATAATAGAGTATTAAAATTGTTGATTCAGTATCGTCCCTGTTGATCATGAAAGGGATACTCATGTCAGATTAAACACAAATAATTTTTTTTTTTTTTTTTTATACAATTTGTTGTTTAAGTATATGTGTATGAAAAGAAAGAAAGAAAAAAAAACAACAAAAAAAAAACAAAAACTCTTATTACATAATAAGACGTTGTGAAACTTAAAAATTAATGTTTTTTTACCCCGTAAATTTGAACTTATACATTAATTCATTTCATTCACACAGGACAATCAAACACGATCACAAAATTCACAATATGTCCATTTGTACATACACGCTTCTTAGCAAGTGTATGACTTATAAATAATTCAATTTAAGTATTTTTCTATTAAGATACCTCTGTAATTTCGCTAGACATCAGGCACTCCTCCCATGATACAGGTTCTGCGTATCCACGCGCTATTAATTCATCGGCAACAGAAATTATCTGAAAATATATATAAAAAAAAAAAAAAAAAAAATAAAAAAAACACCGAGATTTTAATATCTAACCGATGATATTAATATTATAATAAATAAAGAAAAAGAAAATAAAATAAAATCATAATATACATACCCCATATTTGATAATATTGAAGAACAGATTTACGTGAACTTCTGTATCAATATAGGCTGCGATTTGTGCCAATCCTACTTTTCCTGTAACTATTTGCTCGATGACACGCAACGAATCCGGATGCCATTCGCCTAAGTATTTAAATTATACAAAATTTATAATCAATATCAATCCAAAAATGAGATTGATAATTATTGTCAAATAAAAGATATAACACATTAATGCTAACCCTTTTTTGGTTTTACATTAGCGAGGAATACTTCAATCGCTTGGAAAGGTAGTGAGAGAAAATCTGTCCTTATTTTTCTCAGACTAGAGTTGGGATAAGTACGATAACCGCCATGATCAACTAGTCGTACTAAAGTAGTTTGGCCATATGGATCAGGATCAACAACGCATACTCTGGCCCATTTGCCGTCATCTATTGGAGCAGCATAAACCAATCCCTCTGTAAGAATAATATTTGATGTATTACAAAATCATTATTTTCATATATTAATTTTATGAATAATAATAATAATAATAAGTTGTCAATTTACTCATAATTTCATCCGCAACAGGTGGTGCCTTGGTGTTGTATAATTCGCTCATGTTTGCATCTAATATTCTTAACATGGGATACGTTGGGTGTGTAGGAAGTTGTAAAAAGAGTCTGTTTGGTTTCATCACATAACACACCGAGGCATCGTTATTAACTTCCTCGATTAAAGTTAATTGTCTAGTCATGGGAATCATAGGAATAACTTCACTTACTATCGCCATTGGAATAATTTGTTGCAGAGTTAAATCGGGATATTTTTTCTCAGGAAATTTTCTCCTTATAATATCCAAAGCTATGCAAATACCATTATTAGAGCCTTGGATAGTACAAATCCTGTCATTCATCGATATGGGATGACGTTTGACGACAATATGAACGCCAGATTTAGAATGAATATTTTGTAAGAAAGAACCATGGCGACCAATTAGTTTACCAACTAAATCATTACGAATAACGAACTCGTATACGTATGTCGTACCATCTTCTTTCATTTGTCCTTCTATACTTCCACCTAGTCAAAAAAAAAAAAAAAATATAGAAATATTTAATATAACAAATCTACTAATTTATCAAAAGTTACTTCATAAGCGTAAAAACAAATATTTACCTTTACCGCTGTCAGTACTTCCTTCACTTCTGGCTTCATCTGTAACACTTCCTTCTAAAACGCCAGAAACTGGACTGTAATTTGCCGAATCTCTTTCCGACAATGCTTGAGTTTGAGTTTTATTTTCCTCCTCGGGAGAATCATTTTGTGTCTGTTCGTTTAAATCTGCCGTATGATTGATCTCATTTTCTTTATTATCCGTGGAAGTTGATGGTAACGATAATAATAATTGTGTATTATTGTCTTCTATATTGACATTATTTACATATACATTTTGCGCTATTTCGTCTTTATTATCGGCTACATCATTGCAATAATTAATGTCGTCCATATTTCCGTTAACCATTTGAATGTTGTCACTGCCAGTCATGGGATTCTGTTCGCATGTTTCATTATTATAAATATTTTCAACCTCCTGATACCATGGTTGATTTTCTTTCAATGTATCTGCTGCCACTGGCATTAAAATAGGTACAGTTGTTACTGGCATCATTGTAGATATAGCTATTCGTTTCTCGCTAATTTCTTTACAATTACTAATTGGTTCTTCCATACTCTGAGCATGTAAACTCGAGTAAGAATCATTAACTTTAATACCAGTATCAGAAAAATCAACAACGTTCTCTCGCGAATGACTAATTTTTAATTTATCAATATTAGTATCGTATAATACGTTTGTTGATGATGTGGTTATTCCACCTGGATCAGCTCTCTCTACGCGTCTTCTTTTGTACCAAAAAAGACCAACTATCAAAGCAACTGCTGGAAAACTCCACTTTATAATTTGATAAGGTGTGGATGACATACTCGAAATCCACGGTAATAATTGTTGATAACAGTTTCGTTAATCTGAAATGAAAAAAAAACAAAAAACGTAAAATATATTTTACAATAAATATTAATCAAATAAATTGTATAAAATGTGTTTATTAAAAATTATAATTAACGTTGAATTTAATGAAATTGTTAACGAAAAAAAAAAAAAAAAGAAAAAAAGAATATGTAAAATATCGAAAAAGTTTTCGTCACGAGAAATTTGTTTGCTTTTTTTCAAATATTCGCGCCATTTTATCGTAAGACTTCGTAGTAGTGAAGCATTTCCTGTTGTAAAAGGCGCATGTTTTCGTATCACGATGCTTTCGATAAAGGCAGAATTGCATTTTTTTTTTTCTTTCTTTTTTCTTTTTTTTTCAATTAATTGACGATAAAATGACGACTGTAAAAGGTGATTAATCAAATTTCAAAAGTTCTCGTATTTCTTAAAAATTTTTCTCACCATATGCAAAAGAAAAAGAAAAAAGAAAGAAAGAAAAAAGGAAAGAAAGATGAGAAAGATAGAAAGTTAGAAAAAGCGCGCGTAAAATTGAATCTTGCCACGTAGGAAAAAAAAGTAAAAAAAAAAATACAAAATACAAAATAAAATAAATAAATAAAAAAATAAATATAATAAATAATAATATTATTTATATAATATATATAATTTATTTGAATGAATTATTTCGTTTAAATAATAATAATAATAGTATTATTCAATTATACGAAAAAAAAAACAAAAAAAAACAAAATGTTAAAAATGTTAAAAATGTTTTTCCTCAACCTAAAACCGAACATTGGAAAATGAAAAAGAAAAGGAGTGTTGGGGGGGTAAAAAAAAGGTTTAAGGATTAGAATAGGAAAATGTAACCTTTACATAAATGATCCCTTATGGGATACCGCAGGTAAAGACTTTAAAGAAAAGGAAGGAAAGAAAAGAAAAGAAAAGAAAAGAAAGGAAAAGGATTTTACAATAAAAAAAAAAAAAAAAAAAAAAGAAAAAAATATGTCAATTTTCACTGCAATTCTAACATAAAAAGTAAAAAACATTCTTTTTAACAATACTTCAAGAATTTCACTTTATAAATGAGAGGGGGTGGGGATGAGGGATGGGGTGAAAAAGATAATGTTGAAGAAAAAAATGTATCCTAATATAATTTTAACGATATAATAACGGAGAAAAAGATAAATAACAAATCAAAAGATAAATGAATATTTGAAAATTCAACAAATTGCAATATTAAAACACATTAAATATAGAAAGCACTTAAAATATAGAAAGCAATTAATTTATCGTCATCCAATGAAATTTCATTCGTTAACTTATCGATCGAGTAGATAAAGATAATTATAGAAATCGATTAGATACAGATAAAAGATTAAAAATGTTGAATTTTGTTAGTATGATGTTTAAAAGAAATAAAAAAATAAAAAAATAGAAAAATAATATCACGTGTAATATTGTTTTATTTTTTTTTCCTATAAAAAATATTTCTAACCCTAAAAACTTCAATGAAAAATTGTGAAAGATCGAATAAAAAAAATAAAAAAAAAATATATAATATATATATAAATAAAAAGAAGAATAATCAACATGAACATAGGTTTGGAAATCTTAACCTAAATTTCATTTTCGTCATTGGGGGGAGGGGGTTGAGAGAAAATCTTGGGGGAAAATATATCGAGAATAAAGCTAAGGGAAGAAAAGAGTATAAATGGGTGTGTGTATGTGTGTTTGTGTGTGTGTATATATAGAAAGTCGGCAACAGTAGCAAACAAGTTTCTAGAATTAAGGGAGATAGAAACGCCTAAAAACTGTTTGAGCCATATTTTTCGAGTAACCAGCAATATAAAAACTTACCGAGAGATCCATGATGATGAATTAATATTTTATCACAGTAAACAATTAAAAATTTGAATTTATTTATATAAAATGATTATAAATGAAACTTAAAAGTGAGAAACGTTTTGCAACGAGGAACACGTGGGAGGGTTGATACGAGAATATTATAATAAAAAAAAAAAAAAAAAAAAAAAAAAAAAAAGAAAAAAGTACACACACGTACACCGGTAATAAATAAAAGAAAGAAAAACATAAATAAATAATTATACTTGAAGAACTTTTATTGTTCGTTAAATTTTTGTTGTTGTTTTTTCTTTTTTTTTTTTTTCACAGATACCGCGAAAAATTGACAAACTTGAACGTTGACAGAAATTTTTCTTTCTTTCGTTGTTTCTTTTTTACTTTCAATGAAAAAAAAAAGAAAAAAAAAAAAGAAATCAAATTGATGAATAAAATAAATCGTAGAGTAAATTAAAATAAATTAATATCGAAATACTGGATATAAACAATAATATATATTTCAAAATAACAATCAAATTTGAGGAATAATTTGGTGACAACGTGGGATGAAGGAGGTTGAACGAAAAAAACAAAATGAACACTCAATTCTAGGCTTGGCTAAAGACTGACTGAACAAATCATCCAATACACGTGGTTATATTGCTGGAGAATTGCGGATAGGAGAATTGAGGTGGGGTGGAAGAAGGGAAAGGGAAAATGGGGTTGTGCGCATGCGCGAGACAACTTGAAGGAACGTTCACAACGAAAGGAACGTTGTTCGATCGTAGATTTCGAGATTCGAGATTTCTACCATTTTCCATTGATAATTTTCATGTTTTTTTTAACAAATATTAGACCAATAATATTTTGTTGTGTTATTATTTCAAGATGAAATGTGAATTATTTAACCTTTATTCTTCTTTCAATTTCAATCGTAAATTATTTTTGTTAACATTTTTAGGAACCATCGAGTGTTATTGTACCAACCACCTTTAGTACCAACCCTGAGAAAAATGTCCCCACATTTCCAGAACCTTCCACGTTGTTTGTTTTTATTTTAAAACATTTCCATTTTATTATTTCGGAAATAGAAAATGCATAAGATGATTTATAATGCAGTCAAATTATTATTATGTATATATATATATATATATATTTATTGATTTTTTATTTTAATATTAATTTATTTTATCAAGATATTATTAGCAATTTTAAAATAAAAATATTTTATTGGGAAGTTTTTCTTTTTCTTGCCAAATTTAAATCACGTTTAATTATTTTATTGGGTTGTTCGAAAAGTAATTTCAGTTTTTCCTGACACAATAATTGCATTAGTTGATGCAAATTGGCAAATAACAACACGTGAGATCGGTGAGATGTTAAATTTATCAAATTTAACTGTTTATGTTCACTTGAGCTTTCAGGGAGCTTTCTTTTTCTAGGTTTTAAGTTAGGAAACAAAAATTGTCTTCATTTTCAAAAAAAAAAAAAAACGAAATTACTGTCCACCAAACAACCCAATATATTTAATTATTATAATTTATTTATACGATATTTTGAATAGACGTTTTAATTTGTTAAAATTATTTTATAAATGTTATTTATAGATATAGATAGAATATTATTTTACGATATATATATGTAGGGCTGAGGGGAGGGGGCAACGTGTGCACAAAGTAATATTAGATGATGTAGAAAAGAAAAAAGTGCATCTAACTAATAAGTATGTTAGATTAAAGAATTAGAAAGGTAATAGTCTAACGAATATCGATATTCAATTTCGATTTGGTTTAGTTCATGAAATAATATGAAATTTAATACGACGATTAGGTAATTGTATTATAATACAACTTGTCTATGTATGATAGAACTACTTTGATGTTGTACTTTACTTTTACAATCATTTATTAAATATAATCTTATCATTGGATTTTTTTTTGTTTTTTTTTTTAATATAAACGAAAAAGAAACGAAAGTTTAATAAGTTGAGACATTTTAGTGAAAATTATTTGACTAATAGTAATTGCATTAGTAATACTAATGCAATTGCATAATGCAACGTGTTGCATTTGTATATGAAAAACATGAATGAAAAAATATATTCACAAATTTCTAAATTTAATATTAAGTTGTAATAAAACTTATTGTTAATCTAATGCAACTTGTGTACTAAGGTAGGGATCGGCAACCTGCGGCTCGCGAGCCACATGCGGCTCTTTCGAT